AAGCTTCTCGTTAAAATTCATGTTCGTTCCAAAGGAAGAGCTAGTGTCACAAATAAATCGACATAGTACAACTATCTGAGACAATATCTTTGTGTGAATGTATGTATGAGCACTAGACTGATGCAACATTTGAAATTTTCGCTGCACAGTGCTTAAACGGTTCCAAATTGGGTCCTGCTTAGCCTCCCAAAATTTGAACTACTTTAGTAAGAAACTGACTTGGCACAAACCATTTCAAGAGTTTGTGGGAATTACTATGGGAAAACTTATGTTTTTTTTTCATATCTATCTAACGATTCACCACATCACTATGCTTTTGAAAATAAAAGCAGTGATTGTAGAATATTTTTTTTACAACTTTGTTGAAAACCACTTTTCAATCAAATGTAAGGAACAAAAGTTATTAATGATTCAAGGCACTGATGTCTTATGATTATGCTCATTCAACTGTTCAGCAGGCAACAATGGTGTTTCTGGTGCGAAGAATAGAGCACAAATATCATGGCTACTATGTCACACTGCAGAATACAGTGTTGCCCACAGAACAACTGCTTGATCATGCCATAAGATTATCAATCTCTTAAACAATTAATAACAATTTAATTTGACATTTGGTTGAAAACCGATATTGTGCAATGTTGTAGCTTAGAAAATTTCCCGTAAGAATAGTTATAGAAATTTTCGAAAAAGCAATATGGAAAATGGGTAGAAGACAATGAGCAAAAAGCTTGGTTTTTCCATATTAATTTCCATATAATCTTCGAATAGTTTGTGTCAAGTCAGTTTCTTACCAAATGAGTTTAAATTTTGGGAGGCTAATCAAGACCTGATTTGAAACCGTTTGAGCACTGTGGAGCGAAAATTTCAAATTTTGCATCTGTCTAATAGGCACTGTTTCAAACTCACACATTTTCTGCGGACATCAGTAAACCGACATTCAATGTGTGTATAAGCGTATTATTACACTGAAAATAAAATTTCGTTTAAACAAATAAATCGATCGTTTGTTTTGCGAATCCATTCGTTGTTTTGTGCAACGAAATAGATTCATACTTTTAATGAAGCTAGTTTCGTCAATTGCCACATTCGCTACTGATTTTATTTCGTATTGGGAAGGAATGATTCATTAAATAAATAAGATTTTGATATGTTAATAGAAAAAAAGTACGAAACATTCGCATACTCACAATAAAAATTGTGTACATTGTACGAAAGTAATACAAAGGGCCACGAAAATTTTGTCAAATAAAAATTGTATTTCTTTTTATCGTTGCATGTTGCGAACACATTTGGTACGAACGTGCTTCTACTATTTGATTCCTGAAATAATTTAAATTCATAATTTTAGCCTTCCGCATTATCGACGAGGACAAAATCATACTAATAGCAACGGGTCAGGAGAAATCACTTTACCTAGAAGGCAGCCAATAATTTCCATCCAGCATCTCTTATAACCCCATCTCTAACATCAACTCGGCGGTTTCACTTCCCTGGATGGCTAAAAAATCATCTATCTCATATTCACCGGCATTTTTTATTAGCATCACTCGCAGCAACAAAACATATGAGCGTAGACCTGGAAATAACAGCATAAACCATTCCGACATACAAAATTCAACACTCACCGCCTTCAGCAACAGCAGCAGCAAAAATGTGAAAGGACATTTTAGAAGACAAGAAGAGCAGCAGTTTGCTGGTCTGCACGAGTCTCAGTGAAAAATGAATTTTATCTGTGTCATAAAATCAAATCTCATTTAATTTTGAGTTATAGTTGGCATAATCATCGACTGTACCAGCATATATATGCGATGTTCCGTTTAAATTTACATGAAATATCGTGTAAAATTTCAACAAATCAAGTTGTAATTACTTGTGCGCTATATATCGCAGAAATGTACATTAATTTTTCATACGGTGTAATATTAACCTTATGGCAGATGGCAGGCAATTCGAATGTTTCGCAAAATTCATGAAAAATATGATTTATCTCCGAAACCCATTTTTACGAAACGAGCGTAAGAGAATTAACAAAAATATATTATCAGTGTAGTTTTATTGAATTTTATCCGTATCAGTCAGTTGATTTCGGAGATATGATATAAACAATGAAAAATATTTCTACCTTTTCTATACAGGGTAAGTGAGCCAGTTTTTAGCCCTAGTGGTCCTCTAATTGGCCCTATCTTAATTTTTAACTTTATTCATTCTTTACCAAATTTATTTCGATGCATGTTAGAACATAGATTTTGATATACATCTACACGTATAAAACCATGAAAATGTATTTTAAATTTGAGTTAGGCCCTACGGCCAAAAATACTGGAGCACTAGTATCAAAATTGGCACACTTATCCTACCTTCACAGTTCGAAAAGTAGTGTAAATTTCTATTCAATATGATGCACACAAATGAAGCGTCAAATATCATATAAGTTTACATTATATATCATGTAAAGTTCTAGCACAATTCATGCAATGTAGCAAATATTGTATACAAAAGCCCATCTTTGTAAACAACATTGTTTACAAGTTGCTCGGTTGTGTGAAATTAAATTTAAGTTTACGTGAATGAATGTTTACATCACAATTAAAATTCAGAATTTTTATCTGTGTTGTTAGCAATGGATGGGCGGCGTAGATTAGTCTATATTTAATTATTTTTAATTGAACACGGTTTAGGTATAGTAGCTATATTCATAGTCTGGCGAATAGAATTTCGATCTATCAAACAACGGAACCAATGAAATTTTTTGTAGACCAACAATTGAAAAGGTACTATCAACTTTTATAAAAAAAAACGTTGATTATTCATTCCTCGCCATTCGAAGGCAAATTACCAGCATAATCAGATAGAGGAAACTTTCGCTAATCTAAAGGTGGTGTTAGTTTGCGTAGGCGAGCCTTGAGTCACGAAAAAAGCGTTTTGTTCGCAAAAGCTGATGTGCTCTTTTCTGTTGTTGGTCGTGATTTGCTCGATTGGTTCCGCTATTTGACAGCTCAATTGGTTCCCGAGATTCTATCCACTAGACTATAGGTTTAGGCCGTTCGTGACTTTTGTGGATGCTGATGCTTCGGTTTTTTTTAGCAGCGACAGTGATTAAATAATGTTTTTTTTTATTATTGGCTCTAAAAATGATAAGAATTTTTAGTTTGATTCAGTTAATCTTACTTTTGAAGGTCTACATTTCAGTTTAATAAAATTAGTAGTTGTTATGTAGGAATGAGTAGTATGCATTTCAACTTCAATAAATCCATCTCAGCTCTTATTGGTGTGTCATGTGTACTTAATGAAATCAAATGTGTAATGAATTCGTATGACGCAATATGTTGAACTGGTTTATGCTTTTACAATGTGTCAATTAGAAGGTTATTTGGCTGAAGTTTAGTGTTTTAAATTATTTTTAGCAAGGTAGTAATGTATTTTATAATGATTTAAGCATTCTCCGAACAACGTATTTATAATACTACCTAATCCTAGTATCTTTTAAACAACATGCAATATAAGCAACATTTAAATTTAAAGAAAACATCAAATTAAATAAGAAACCAATTTTTAAAATGGCATGCAATTGATTAACTATATAACATATTTACAGATTATTCTAAATTAAGCAATCTTCTTTGAAAATATCCACAATGAAATTGCTTTCATCTATTGGCTATTTTCAAAGAACATTTCCTTTTCATTTACTCTCCTACTCCTGAATAATACGGTACATGATTCTACGGTTTACTGTACTCCTACGTCGAACTGGTATACTTTCTACTGAAAAACGGGAGGTATCAAATTTCAAAAAATATAAATCGGCCAATTACGGATATGTTCGCTCGAAAACCAATTGTTACGGTAGCTACGAAATATTAGTAGTCTCAACAGGAATCTACAGGCGGAAGGTTATTTACTGATTACTACTACGATGGAATCCTTCTGGCGGTGTCAAAGAGGGAAGGACTAAAGAAATACCACTGATCAATATATGGTTAAGTATGTGGGTCAAGTTCTACGGATACGACTGCCAAACAATTTGAATATTGTATGGAATGTTACTACTATTAATTTTACTGTTTTTAAGGCTGGAAGCCAACGAGTGGTCTACGGGTCTTACCTCCGGTTGGGTTTCAGATAGAACGGGTTGGCTACAATTTGTCTGGCTACTTATTATCGTCGATTCATTACTGACATACACACACATAACTGGTCGGGACAGTACTTGGCATCGTCATCATGCTACTGTGGCGTTTAGGTTTTATATTTTTACGTAATCAAAATTTGGAACGAGTATCAAATGGCTTTCTAGAAAAGTGAATTTCTTGACTTTGCACCGGTTTACGGGGCGTTCGCAAAACTACCGTACTAACGATCATTGTACACGCTAAATAGGGAGGAGGATCGTGGTCGGTTTTTAGTAACTTTTTCCAGTACTGATTTGAAGTTTTTGGTGTTCAGAATCTGAAAATATACAGATGATTGAGGTGAACAAAACTGCACGGTGGACTGAAGCTAGAGGAGTAATATCTAAACAGTATACATTCTAGTGAGAGATAGATATATATAGGAGAATGGAAGGATAGTGGAAGGAGTTCACTCAGAGGAGAGTTGTAGGAAAATCACTACAAGTGCCGTGGAAGTGATGATTGTAGTAGGCATTATAGTGAGGAGAGTTCACATTTAGTAGAAAATGTTGATAAGTGCTAAATAATGGTGTCTCTCCAGAGATAAGTTCCATTTGGTTCGGGAAGAAAAAGCGATAAATCAGACCAGGTCAGCACTCAAAGAATACGGAAAAAGCGGATCTATAACGGCTACGCACTACGGGTTTCACTGTATCTTACTTGGTTGTGTTTGATTACTGTACTTTATAGCATTGTCAAATTTGTGGTCGCTTGCATGGTACAAAAATTTGTTAACTAGCAATTATCTGATTGGTCTATTACGAATGATTGACATCCATCCACAAACAGAAAACGTCGATGTGCGAAGGTGTAAAATGGTTTTTTTTGCACTATGCTCTAGGACAAGAATAAAATTACACGAATACAGTACTACAAACAGAATACTGCAGGCTTTCGCTCTGGTGTTGTCGGTTATGATAGCAGTAGTAGTAGTTGTTGTTGTTTTGGATTCCATTGCTGCAGATGATGGTCCTAAGGTAATTCCTTAAATTTCTTATCACTTGGTACGCAATCACAGACCAGGCCCAGGTGGTCCAACCACTTTGCATGGCAGGTTTGGCAGGCTCGTCAGTCTCATCAGTAATCGCTTGGTACTGGTTTGGACCGTGTTGTAGGATTCAAAGTTTAAAGCTTTTGCGCAAGTTTTTCAGTGCCTTTTTCTGACTCTTTTGGAAGCTTCGTTGGAAGCCTGCAGCCGTACTGCTGCGTCGTGACGTTGGTGAATACGTTAACAAATCCAGCGGTTTGATGTTGGCCAGTTTAGATTCAAGCTTTGATGACTGTAGGACGTTCAATGTTGCAATCAATCACAGAGAGCGAAAGCGGTATGATTGGATTTGTGTGGTCGAATTCGGTTTGATTGATTTGTTATTTTGATTTATACGAAGGATAGGCAGAAAAAGAAAGAGAAAAAGAAGAGAGAGGATTTTTGTAGGCTTCTTCCAATGTTCGAGCGATTCGAATGGCTAGTTCTGTTCGTGAAGCTATACACTACTTTGGCAGCGTGTCGTTGTTTTAGCGTGCTAGTTTGTGTTCCTTTTGGATGTTTTTTTTTTTCTGTGAATTGCGGAAGTGCTGTGTGCTGACTATTGCATATATCTATATGTGAAGACTACTCGTGTCAGAAGCTGCTGTTGTGGCCGTTGTGATGGACGATGTGTGTTATTAAATGTTTTTTTAAACCTTTGGTGTTCTAAGAGGAGAATCTTTCCAGGGAAGCATAGATCTGGGCAGTTTATCATAAAGTACTAAAACCAACCTATATTTATTTTTATAGATTTATGTGATCCTCTAGATCTCTCTATTTCGATATATTTATATTTATGCTTATATTTAGTAGATAAGTCTATACCCTGAGAACATTACTCTTAATATCAGAGGTATTTGAAAGGACACGGAGATCAAATTCGTTAAGTTAAGATAACAATCCTAATAGTTACTTTCACATGGAAAAATATTTTTGCTTGAAAGAAACCTATAGTTATTCCAACATTAATTTTAACGGCAACTCAATCATATCTACCTAATAGATTCAACTGTTCATCTTATACTCAATTCAACAATAGCTATGATCAATTATAACAACCGTCAAATGTAATTTATTTATATATTTTTGGTTTCAAGTGATCATCATAAATCCACACACTTTTAGCTTGTCATGCGTAGAGCAGGCGATAAGATAGCTGGCTCTCACGCAGATCAACACGCTTCGAATCTAAGTTGAATATTCTTGTACACTTTTTTATGATTTTGCAGTTGTGTTTTTGAGATCGATAAAGAAGCAAAACAAACTTCCTTAATATGTCGATAATGAAGAGCAGTTCGTTCAATAAACATTGTAAAATTTTGCTTTTCTAACAACAGTTTTCTTGAATCAACTAAAACATAGTTGTATTTTGAAGTTTAACGTTTGTTCAGCTACTTAAAAATATAGTTGAGCCAACCGAGTAGCCAACTATGGACTATAGTTGTTGCCCTCTATATATAGTCAAATCAACTATGGTTTCGGGTTATCTCTAAATCAATTGAACAATATAGTTATTTTGACCGGAATAATAATTACGTCTGCTATGATTTGTTCTCCTTGGATGCCAAGGACAAGCATTAATATTCTTTTTAGGGTAATGATCTACACAGAACATAATTCTGAATTTATGGTTATAAACTACGGGATCGTGTAAATTTGGGCCAAATCTATAGTATATTCTCATTTTCTATGGTGCATTCTGTACGCGTGCGCTTGATATCACAGAAATTCACGTGAATTTTTAAAACGTAGTTACACGGGCAGCACATCACACACAAAATGGTTAAGCAATTATTTTTTTCCTTTAAATTTATTACAATGAATGTTTGTTCCGTTTCCTATCATCCTCTGTTTATCAAGTTGACCTTGCAGACGATGCAATGATTTTTAATCTTTTTTCATTCCGTGCTCTGTCTATACTTTCACCTATAAAAGCTAGCATTTGCCTTGATTTTTATGTATAAATGGTAAAACGACGCACACACTTGCCTCTATTCTCTCCAGCAGAAAAAGCAAACGAAGTCGACTATGCGAGGAAATGAGCGCTTCTTGTTTGCTTTTAGCCTATCCCGAAGTATGGAGAGTGGAGAGCACAGGTGTGATAATCGGCACGTTCGTGGTGCGAGTCCCCCAGTCGCAACCTTTTTTTTTCGACATGATTAATTTCAGTCACTAATACACACCACATTTTTCTTCCTCCCGCAGCTATGTATATCGCATCCTTGGTTCATGAGGTCTCCACTAACCTCCTCCGATGATGAATCCTATATAATTGTAAGCGAATCGGTTGGGTGTAGTGATTTTATTTGTTACACCACAATTTAAGAAAGAAGGACATCTACGAAATAACCACCGACTGGATGATCCCAATCACGTCCGTAATGAGGGTTTTATGTCTACATTACGTTATACTAAATTTATAGTTTTAATTTTTTTATTTCAAAAGGTCGTATCTTAGGAGGTTTTTGGAGCCAATAATTATGAGGCAAACCAGCCAAAAGCTGAAAATCTCTTTAATAACGAAAACTTAACTAAACTTACCAATAATTATATTCGGAAGCATTTCACAAACCTACGTATTTAGGGATGGGACCGATTACTGACGGTTCATTCGATGTTAGAGGGTTTACATCAGCGTCGCCCAACGTGGTCTCTTGATCTCAGCAATGAAATCATTCTATTTTAATTTTATTCTACATTTTGAATCTTAGCTCAGAATGAATGAGAAATAAACAAACTGCAGCTTGAAACAAGTTCATCGAACATAAATATGGCCGATGCAAAAAGCTTAGAAAGGTGGGCAGGCCTGGTTCACATTGCTCAAGATAAGATCAGGGGAGGTGCTTTGTATAAAATTCAGAGCAGAGCTAAAATTCAAGCTAAAACAATTGTAAACCGAAGTTGTATTTTAAATACTCAAGCAAACACACGAGTGTGGAAGTAAAATGTAGTTAAATACCTAGCATTTTTTTTTGAAAATAAAACCTGAAATTGCAAGAAAAGCAGTTAGTCTTAAAACATATACTGACTCCGAATGTGATGTCCGATAAAAATGTATAGGTTTAGCAAATATCTACTATCCATTCAAATTTACTAAAACGTGAACGGAGATTCTCTACTCAGTGGAAGGGGGGTCTAAACCTCTCAAAAACTGTCCTTGAAAATTTGTCTCAGACACCATTTCGGTTAGAAGTGAAACTTTCGTGCTACACAGTCCGAAAAAGTTGTGTAAATTTTTGTTACTACACATTTAGCACAAGCTAATTTTACATGGGATGGACTTCATCTTTAACGTAAAGAAGTAAAGGATGAAATGTATACAAATATGTCATTAAAATTCAGGGCTCTGAAATCGAAAATACACTAGCCACTTAAAAGTATATTTGATTGAGCTAATTTTCGGATATTTATTGATTTAATTTTGTATCTAAAATGCCGTTCGTATATGTCAGCACCGAAATTTATATGATTTGTGTGTGTGTGTATGATGCACACAAATGGATCGTCATTTATTTCGTCATAAGTTTACATTATAGATCGGTAAAGTTATGAGCCATTTCATAAAATATTCCAAATATTGTATGCATGAATTTTAATCGCATGAATGTTTGCATGTATGGATGTTTACATCACCAGTAAAATTCAGATTTTTTCTATGAATGTTTATCCCTGGCATGAAGAAAAAGTTTGTGAAAAAGTTGCCTAGATGAATTTTTTGCTTAGCCCGTTTGATTTGTCACCCATGGTTTGAGCCGCTTTCGCTAAACCCTCATTTCGGTGCTGATTGAAATATTAACACTTGACGGATGTTTGATCTCGGTGCCATTAGAAATCCTCAAAAGTTGCAGATAATTTCTATTGTATAATTATTAATATATGGCCTAAGTTTGTCCTGAAATCTCTCTGGATACTCATTTAAAAGCATATTGTTATGGATATAATGGATGCGTTGAATTGACATTACAAGTTAGTATTAAGCCATAATCAATTTCAAATGTGGTACTTAAGGAATTGTTGAGGAATATAATCTAGAAAATGTTGATCTATATCATTTGACTGCAAACGTAATTAATGCGATGGATGGTATATTATATGTCGCGCTTTAATGCGTTTAACTTATAAGAGATTTTTTTTTCTAAGATGCAATACATCAGAACTGAACTCATTATAAAAGTTAAAATCATCCACCATTGTATTTTGTCTATCAATATTACTCATTGTCTGCCAATCTATGCTTCCGTGTATTTTTC